AAGCACGCGTGTGTCAGCATATGAAGGAATGCCATTTACTTTAAAGTGAAAGTTCTGGGGTCCATGTCTGTCATGCAGCATGGCTGTGGCTGCTGTACCTACTGGCTTCTGCTTTGTCCCTAGATCACAGGCTGGACCGAGATGGAACTCTGAAGCTCCTGGGCCGCCTCTCCCTCCTCTCTGAAGAGATTCTCTGGGCTGCCAATGGCTTACCCAACCCCTTCTACTCTTCAGACCATCTCTGCTTGCTTGCAAGCTTCGGCATGGAAGTCACTGCCCCATGAGGGCCCCCAGGGAGAGAGCTCACTGGATCGGATGACTGCAAATGCCCCGTGCTGTGGAAACTTATGTCCCTTCCTTTGTTCCCTCCTGCCCGTGGTCAGACTTTCTCCAGGCCTGCCCACGTTCTCTGCCCTGCCTCAGCCTCTTCCTAATCCTGTGCCACATGCTAGGTGGCCCTGGGAGAGGTGGAAAGCATTCCTCTTCCTTCCATGTACCCAGCGCCCCCTCCCCCATTGATTTTTAATGACCAGGGTTGCGGGAGTTATTGATCTCATTGGTTATTTGCTTTCAGGCCATTTCATGGTGGCACCCTCTGACCCAACCTTCCTCCTCCCTTCATGACCTCTGGGCTCTGGCACACACATGCAAGGTGTGTGTAAAGCATGAGTTCTCTTGGGATGGGACTGCCCAGCACAGCCAGGCCTGCCTCTGCCTAGACCATGTACCACCATGAGGTGTTGGGCGAGGGACAGGTTGAGAGCATGACATAGTAGCTGTGTGCTGCCAGGTGGCAGCAGATGTGGGGCCCTTTTCTCCCTTTCATTTGTCAGTCATCTGGGCATCCTGGCACACTTGTTATTTCTGGAGACAAATTGGCCCATAGCCTGGAGCAGCAGCTCAGGGATACACCATAGCCCAGCTCTCCTCAGGGCCAGATGATTTTGGTAGGACTTCCCTGAGGAATGCAGTTTGATATCTTGTGTTGGGGTTGAGTGGGCTGGCACAGTGTTGTGAGGTGTGAAGCATTTTAAGGATAAGGAGATGGAACGTTCAGGAGCTGTGGTCTCACTCGACTCTGCAGAACTGAGTTGGAGTCCCCATAGAAAGAGCAGGAGGCTCTATAGCAGCCTTAGCCAGCACGAGAGCCCCAGGAGCTTGACCTCTGACCTCTGCACACCTAAGAAAGTTTCTTCTCACTCTTCTTTCCCTACTCCCTGCCTTCCTTATTCCCTTCTGTTTTCTCTCTGAAGAAGCCTGCTGTTCAGCTCAGGCCAAAACATCTCAACAAAAGCCTGCATTTGGGCAAACTAGATCTAAGAATTCAGGATGGCAGTACTTGCAGATTTGCTCTGCCTTTCCTCCCCAAACACAGGGTCCCCTAACCTACTCAAGAGCCCTGTAGTCTAACCTGCATCACCTGCATGCCTTACTCCTCATTGGGGTGTAGCCTTGGGTGTCCTTAAGCCAGATCCTCCACATAGCTTTAACTCAGTATCTGCTGGCCCTTGTGTCTGCACTATTTCGCCCAGAGACTGGAGGTAGTTAACTGAGAGGTTGTGGCTAGGCACGGTGGGCCAGACGTTATATTCTTTCCTTTATTTGAAAGCCAAAGACCTGGCTGGAATGTTGCTGCTGCATTGCTGACTCTCAGTTTCCTATGCTCAGGTTCTGGGGGAACTTCTTTTCCTGTGTGTGTCTGTTTTTAAGTTTTGTTTTCTGGGTACTGGACATTTGCCTGTCTGAGCCCCAGGCCCATCTGTCCACTGCCCACTTTCCACCGTCTCTTTCTGGGCACCTCCTGAGATGGTTTCACTACTGTGCCCTGTTGGTTCTCAGGACAAGGGCCACTAATCGTTCCCTCTGTCAGGAAATGCAGATTCAACTGCTAAAGAAGGTGGAAAGCCAGAGCTTGATGGTTTATCTTTTCCTTGTTTCTTATTTGTTTCTGTTTTGAAATGAAGTGTGGGGGTTTAAATGGCTTATAAAACTGCACTCTGGAGCCAGCAGAACCAGGCAACGTTTTTCCAAATAAAGGCTGATCATGCCCCCTCCACTGTTGGTCTTTTTATTAGGAGTCTGAAAAGCATGGGGTTTGAGAGAGTTGGAGGATGTGGTAGACAGGAAAGGGTCTGAGGAGCTTTGATCCTGGGGGTGGGGCCTTAGGATCTAAATGGAGAACAGAAGCTTGCCATCTGTCTCTGTTATCTTCCCTGTGCTCTAAGGCTTTCGGGGGAAGAGGGTTTCGGTGAAGTCCCCTGCCATGCCCTTCTCTGTCCCCATATGAGAAGAGAAGGGCTCTAATTTAGCTGCTTTTTGCTCGTATTACATCTGCTGCCTTGCATCTCTCTGTAGACTGTAGACTTCTGCCGATGGGTTGGTGTGGAAAGTGGGATGTTCCTGGTCAAAGCAGTGGCAGCTGCCTCTTGCCAGTTATCTATTTCTGATCATCTCTTGCATTCGAGCCAGGGCTGAGCTGTGTGTGGGCCATCTGTCACTGGAAACACTTTCTTCTTTGCCGGGCCTAACTGCTGTTACTTCTGTCCTTTGCTGGTCTCCCTATGCCGTACACCAAGCCATGGCCAAGCCAAATGAGGTGTGGTTTTCTTCCTTACCTCAACAGACTGCCAGCCCCATATTCTCTCCAGAGACTACCTGCAGCTGCTGGTGTACTCTGGGTCAGAATCCACTGATGGAGGAGAAAGCAAATTTAGCCAGCAAGTAGGATTAAGGAGCCTTACCTTGGCCGGGCTGGTTGATGACTAGATAAATCACTTAATCCCTCCACCTTGGAGTTGGCATCCTTTGGTGAAAGGAAATTGAAGGAGTACTTTAAAGGGCTTTTTAGGTCTGTGTTGCTTGTGCCATGGCAAGAGAGGGATGCTAAGGATGCCAAACAATTCTGGTGGGAGATTGGATTGGATGGTTGTCCCCAGAAAGGCTGGATGACCAGCCCTGTGGGCTGGGAGGTATTTGAAAGCTCCAAGCTTTGAGTTACAGTCCTAGTGCATTCTTTCCTTGCATGGAGAATCCTCCAGTGCCTTGCCTCAGTCACTAAGCAAACACAGGCTTGGAATTTTGCTTAGCAGTTTGTGCTGTTCACATGGGTGCAAATGGGCGTGAATGCTTGAATGTGTGTGCATGCACATGGGAGACCAGAGATCAACTGTCGTCGTCATTCCTCAGAATCCACCCACTGTGCTTTTTGAGACGGTCAGTCACTGGCTTAGAACTCACTCACTAGACTGCCTTGCCAGTGAGCTCCAGGGATCCTCCTTTCTGCATCCCCAGTGCTGGGATTAAAGTATGTGCCACCATGTCCAGTTTTACGTTGGTTCTAAGGATCCAACTCAGGTCCTCATGCTTGCATAGCAAACACTTTTTACTGAGCGATTTCCCCGCTCCCACTTTCAGCGTGAAGGTAACAGCACTGCTAGGAGGCAGTAGGGGTGTGGTCTTGATAGCCTCCTACACCCCAGGAAGCGAGAGACCCAGCAACAAACCCAGACTCTTGAATCTTGCTTATTTTTTGCTGTCCTGTGCTCCTTAGACATAGCCTTTCTCGAGGAACAGGAGCCAGGCTTTCTTGCCGGTTGGGACCTGGGTGAGGTGCCCAGAAACAGCTTTGAGCTGGAGAGCAGGAAGGACTATGATCAACCAGCTTTGTTTGCTTTTTCTCTGGTTCCTCAGCTGATATGTAGTGACTCATGGGAGAATTGGGTTTTGGTGTGTTAAGTAATGCACGAGGCAGTTTCTCTTTTCTCAGGGCACGAAAGCCCACCTCCAGTTTCTACCAGGGTGGGCTGTGTGGGACCCAAGACTCCCAACAGCGTGGTGAACCCTTGCTTGTCCTTTTAATTGTTGAAGACAAGGGCCATCTAGGAAGCCTGGTGGTGGTGCAGATCATCCTGGGGCAGAAGAATGTGAATTCCATGTGTTTTACAAAGAAGCTGGTCTTTATACTGTCTCTAGTTCCAGTGACCTGCCAAGCAGGACCTCTGCTAGCTCTGGAGAAAATGACTTCTTATATTCTATTACACTTCAATTCTTGGAAATTTTGTTTCCCATTAGCAAATTCTCATTGGCTAGGAATTGGAAAGAGCTGTCATGTGAGCTAGCTCAAAGAGCTGGGCTGTCTCCTCCACCCACCAGGGCTCAACAGCTGGTTCTCCACCCTATCTTGGCAAACACTAAGTATTGCCAGGCAACTTGCATCTGGGTCACTCTTAGTTCTTGGTATGACAATTGCTTCCCATTGCCACTGCCCTCCACAGTAGCAGTGAAAATCCTAGGTCCTAGCAGATGGGGAAGAGGAGTCAATGCACTAGACTCTTTAGGGCTTTTGGGAAGAGTCAATTTAGCCATATGCCTAAATGACTTGGAGAACCTTGGCAACAGAGAATCTGAGCAGCCCAGAGGTCAGTAGCAATACATCTGCATTCTATGGAACTGGCTTAGCAGTGGCCATGATGAGCCTGGCTAGCTGATGGCCTAGGCTCACCCCAGGCCATCCCTATCCCTCAATTTAATAACAGTTGGCCTAGTATGGGCCTGTACCATTGGGGCTTCCCACCAAGTTCTCTGCTGTGGTTCACTGTAACCGGATTTACGTGTGTAAATAGCACATCTCCATGGAATGCCATGCATTCACCATATCCACAAATTTTGGTTACCTTTGTATAATTTGTTTTAATTTGGGGTGTATACTTTAGCTGGCAACAAAACTGCCCAGATACTAGCAGATTGTTCTCTTCTCTAGCTGCCATGCTGACCCCAAAAGTGTGGTCATTAGACCACTGCAAATGACAGAGGCCTTCTGTGCTTTTGTTCTAGCTAGGACAGGGTGGTGTTTGGCTGCGCTGTGACATGGCCCCCTTTCTTAGGAGTCGGAGTTTCACTCTTAAGCTCTGCTAGGGATCTTGGCTTCTTCCTGCAGCTAGTGGGGCTGATAAGGGTGGGAATGGGCCTGGGCTCCAGCTCCTAAAGTAAAGCAGACAAGATTTCATGTGACTTCTGCCAGCCCATACAACTGGAGCTGGGAAGACTTTATTCATTTTCAGGGGAGTTGAGAAAGGAGTGAGACAAAATGTTCAGTGAAAGGCGGGGGTAATACTGATACGAACACAGGAATAGTAATGAATTCTGGGACAAATACAACAGCCATACAAAGCATAGAGAATGGGCGGTCCATCATTACTGTCCCAGGGGTCCAGTGTACCCAGACTTAAATTAACAAGGAAGCTTGGGACCCCAAAGCACCGAGCTGGAGAGGGCCCTAGCAAAGAACTTGCAGCTAGCATGGTGGTAACCCCACCTGCCTGGAGACACTGGTGGGAAGCCGTGGTTCCTGGCTGGGTGAATCCTTAGCTCCCACCTACACTCCTTCAGAGAATATCCTTGCCCTGTACACCTCTAGCTTGTTGGTCCCCTGCACGTCGTTGCACACTTATCACCCCTGACAGCATGTGGGGCAGTGATGTGCTAAGCCGGAATTCACTCCAGGCAGGAAGGCCAGGTATACACACATAGGCCGGGGCACAGCACAGCTATCATTAGACCTAACACCCCAGAGCCAGGAACTCATCCCAGCTGGAAAGGGGTCAGGGCATGATAAGACAAGACTAGACATCAGCCATAGGCAATTTCCTGAATCTGCTCCTCAGTACCTGGTCTCTAGGCTTCATCATCAAGTCTGGGGCCAGAGGGCTGCTGCTCTGCCCACTTGGCTATGCCTACTAAGGAGTGGTGGCTGGCAGGAGGGATCAAGGGAACAAGGAAATGTGAGGCTGTGGAGGGAAAGGACTGGCAGGCAGCTGGATGGAGAGAAAAGTTCTCTGAAGCCAGCTTCCCAATGTTCTGACCCAACCCCAAAGCACAGGGAACCTCTACCCAAGGCCACCACCAAGAAGCCGCCTCTGACCCTCTTCAGCCAGCAGCCCCCAAAGGTAGGGCAGAGAAGCTGAAAGGCAGGCCTAAGTCAGGAGGTCTGGAGTTCAAATCTGCCAGACTTCTGTCCTTCGCAGGAAGTGAGATGAAGTGACGGCATGGATGGTGACTAAGGCCTCAAAGTCCCTGCCTCTGCCTCCCCAGAAACCATACAGCCAGGCCAGCCCCAGAGAGCACAGCCTGCGTAGACGGCCGCAGAGGGGAGGATGGCTTGCTACATATGAGAAAGAGTAAAAAATAAAAAGCACCACTGTGGCCTAGGACTGTCCACAGGCCAGACGTCCTTAGCTTGGGAAGAGGTGAATAGCAGGGGGTCACAGCTGCTCACCCCCACGCCCTGAACAAGTCAGGGTTCAAACAGCAACCTTCTTTCCTGAGCCTCAGGGGAAGTAACCAGCCTGAATGTCCCTCAGGCTGTGGGACCTGGAGCTGTTCTCCATATATACCTAACTCCAGCTCTCCTCACACCCCCTTCTCCCATAGTTTGAAGTTCCCAGTGACATACAGGGCTCATTTAGATCCAGAAAAGATCTTGTCCAGCCTTGCACCTCTTAAGGTGGGCATGGGAACAGTGGGACTAACCACCCCTGAACTCTGGGATGGATCAAATAGTGTCTGGCCAGGGGTGTAGCCTAGGGGCAGGGCTATGCATTGGAGGAACCAGCTGAGACAGGGACTAAACAGCTGGCCTCCCATGGTGCCTGTTCTGGGCTTTACTTCACCTGGCTCTGGGCCCAGGAGCTTCTGGTGTGATGAGCAAGCTAGCCTTGCTCATGTCATCAGCAAGGGCATCCCTCCTCCTGTTCCTTTACTTCCAGCCACCATCCATTTCCAGGCAGGCAAGAGCTTCACCATTCTACCCCACTCTCCCTACTCTGGTGACCCAACAACCACAAACATGATCTCTGCCTATAGGATGGGGCAAGGAAGTGGCCCTTTCTGCCTTTGGGAAACTTAAAACCGTCACATTTTTCCACCTACAGCACAATAGGACGCTCCTCACAACCAGCCCAAGCTCTCTCTACCCCAGACACTGCAGACTGGTACTCTCTCACCTATGGTGAGAATTTCTTGAACTGATTGAGTTAACAGAGTCCTGGCCTTAAAAAAATTAAAAAAACCCTTAGGGCCTGCACTGTGGAAACAGTAGAATGGCAGCAGCCCACTTTAATGGGATATGCTCTTTTGTAGGACACAGTCCCACCCAGCCCTCTTCTGTGTTACCTGCTGGCCCCATAGGCATTTGAGTCCCTAGTTCAGTCTCTCTTATCCAAGCCCTCAACCCGTTGCAGCCTTATTGGCAACTGCCCAGGCTGCCTCTGCCTCTCGGTCACCTCAGCCAGCTGTTCTCTTGTCACTTGAAGCCTCCAGCAACCTGACAAATGCCATCTGTGCTGCAGGGAACTCAGGTCCCATGTAGCCTCATCCAGAACTGCCTCCCACAGTCCTTCTCACTTACACTCCCAACTCCAGGGCTGTCTCTCCTCCCCCAGCCCCCACAGCCCCTCTCCACACCTCCCTTTCCTACCAGGGATATATGCCTGAGGGCCAGAAAACAGACAACCTCTGCTACCTCCCTGCCATCGCCCCAATGAACTGCTAAAATTGCTTAAATGGGCAGCTAAGACAGGAAAGGTGGGCCTGGGGTATAGGCGTCCTGGTCTGGTCTTGTTTCCCCAGCAAGGGCTGAGGTTATCAGAAGGGGAGAGAAGAGCCCCATCTCACACAACTAGAGGGGCCCACTCAACTACCCAGTGCCCAGCCAGTTTCCAGTTTCTCAAGGTTGTAGTGTCCCCAGTGCAACTCTGGGCCCTCTACAAAGCCCAGCCCTTCTAGAGTGAGCCCCTGGGCTGCAGCAATAGTCGGTGATACCAGCAGACATGCTAGGAGCCAGGAACTCTTCCCACTATGGACCCTTTCCTGGTTTTCCCATAGCTTAAGCCCAAACTGGCTATGGTGAGGATGTGTGTAGGGGGGCACAGTGCTGTCTAAAGAGTCATGCTGACCTGAGGGCTCTCCTAGCCACTGGCTTCCACGTTAGGCTGATGTGCCTTCTGCCAAGTTCCGGATTTGAGAAATAAGCAGTCCTTTCTCAGGAGAACCCCTACCCTGCTTCCCTTTCCCTGGGCCATAATTCTGCCAGGACAGGTCCAGCTGGAGAAACACCTCCATCCTTACCCCACCCCACCCTCACCCCACAGGCTGGCAAGGCTCCCAAAGAAGGGGTACCACAGAAACAGCAAGCCCTCCTCCCCAAGCCACACAGCGCTCAGAGATTGCAGGCCTTGACAGCTATCAGTATGCCCATTTGCCTTTCCCTCCAAATACCTTAAACTTTACTTTGTAGGGCTAAAATTCCAAATAAAATACTGCTTCTTGGCCCAAAGTTAGGGGCTTGGCTCCATGGGAGGGGAAGTCACTAGTGGCTGAACTGCAACACATCCTTCTTCCCTCCCACCCGCAGCCCACCCCATCACCAATCTCTGCTTGAACAAAGTAGATTCTTTTGTGCAGGTGGGTCTGAGCCTCCAGAAGCAGAGAAAAGCGTAGGAGTGTTGGCATCCGCCTCACACTCGGATCTGGTACCCATTGAGGTCTGGCATGGCTTTGGGCTCTGCAGGCTTCTTCTCCCCTGAAGGCCTGCAGGAAGAAAAGAGGAGGATGCAGAGGAGGAGTGAGTGGTTACTAGGGAGACAAGAGAAAGGAAGGGAAGAAGAGAGGGAAGAGAAAGGGGAGGGAGGGAGGGAAGAAAGGAGAAGAGCGGTCCCGCTGGCTTCTCTCCTCTAGGGGCCTTTATAGCTGCAGGGGGTGTGGGGAATGTTTCTGGAATCAGTGGCCAGCCTAAAGTTCCTAGATTGTCCCCTGCCATCATATAACCTCTTGCTCTTTGATGACTGACACAGTTTATGGGTAACAGCTTCAAGTACAACCTGGAATTGGATCCCTACAAAAGCCTCGGAGCTCAAAGGTAAGGGTGATGGGAATTGCAGGTCTGCTCAGCACTCCTCACTTCTAGGCAGAGAGATAGCTCTAGAGGCACAATTATTAATTAAAGCCAGCGCCAGAATGCTATGTGGGAGAGGGAGTCAGAGTAAGAGGCCTGGTATTTAAATACCAAATCTTGCCATTTGGATACAGAAAAAAAACAAAAAACAAACAAACAAACAAAAACCCAGACCCTAGAAGGCAAAAGTTGTGTTCAAAGCCTCCTGTCCTAGCTGCACAGTCTCCCATCATATCCAGACCCTTTCAGCAAACTTTAGGCAAGCTCAGGGCCTGTGGGAGCCTCACTCTGTTCATCCTCCCCCGCTCAGTCCATTCTGCTGCCTGCCTCAGATGACCTGGCCAGCCACAGGGTAACCAGAGTTACCCTGAGTTTCTTTAGGGAAATGGCACAGAACTCCTGTAAGCTATTTCAGCACACAAACACACAGACCCCTCATCCCCAGTGACACCTCAAAGAGCAAAGGATGAGGAAGAAAAAAGAGTGGAGAGAGAGACCAGGATGAGGAAAGAGCAAGGCTTCTGAATAGATTTTTGCTGGGCCTCCTTTCTCACCGTCTCTCACTGCGGCTGTTCCTGCGGTGGGGGCTGGACTGGGCCCTCTGTGGAGAGGAAACATCCTTCTTTCGGTCCTTTGTGGGAGAAGGAGGGCCTGTCCCCTTGCCAATCTGGATGGGGAGGAAGGGGGAAAAAAGCATGTCTGCCCTGCTGGGAGCCACAGTCTCCTGAAACCTAGGCTGTCTACATTCCAAGCCTCTCCTATCTCTGGGTCATCCTCGGCACTTAAGCCATGGAGTCAGCAGATCCTCAGTAGGGCTGTCTACTCCTTGAGGGTCATGAACACAGTGCAAGAGGTGTCACTGGGTTGTCATAGGGCTGGAAAACACCCTTGAAGAAAGATCACCGTATCCAGTCTAGGGAAGTGTGCCAGATGGGGATATGGCAAATGCTGAGCTCTGGGACAGGTCTTAGGACAGTGACAGTGGCAATCTCCGGCTAATCAGATATCAGATTGGGAGCTGTATCTCTGATTCAGAAAAAAACCCACCCCCCCCCCAACCCCATAAAAAACCAATCATCCTTTATGTAGTGTGGTCAGCCTACTTTGATTGTTCTTAGCTCCCAGAGCTCTGGGGAGCTGGAAAACCAGCAACATGGGGAGTTCAGCACTGAGCTGGCTGGGAGGCTACAGCACTCAAGAGAGGAATCTATAAGCTCCATCTCTGTGTCTTGCTGCTGCTTGGAAACACTACTGTGTTCCCAACAGTGAGAGCCGAGGTGCGGGGAAGGGAGTGGCCCAGGCACAGAAGAGCCCCTCTGTAATACAGGCCTATGGCAGGTCTGCCTTAGTGGAAGACAATGGTAACTGCATGAGGTTAGGTAAGGCAGATCACAGTGCAATAGGGCTGAGCAACAGAGAGGAGTTGACCACTGGGGGAGAGCCCTGGCAGGCCGGAGGAAAGGTATCTCCAGGCCGGGGAGATTGAGAGCCCCCTCCCCAGTTCTGTCTGCTAGAAGGCCGTGGGAGCAACGTTAGGGTCTTGGTCTACTGCTGTCCATGAGCTCTCTCCAACTCTCCAGCACCTGCTGAGTGGTGGAGAAGAAGGGGAGGAGCCACCACCTCCACTTTCTACTGATCTCCTGGTCCCTTACTGCAGGAGCTTAGAGACTCAGGATGGACAGGAGAGGTAGGGGCTGCTCACTACCCCATCCCCCCACATTCTCAGACAGTCCGGGTGTCTGCTTCCCCCACTCACAGCACCCAGGCCTGGAGCACCATGTCCCTGTCCTTTACACGTCCAACTTCACAGACCTATGACTGTGCAAACCCAGCTCGCTCCCTCCCTCCTCCCAAAGGGCCAACTTCAGCAACAGGGCTTTTTTGAGTAATGCTGATCCTGGGACCCGGCAACCCCTACTGATCAGGGCAACCGGCGGTGAAGGCAAGAAGGGGCTCCCATGGGGAAGCAGCAGCTGACAACGGCCCCCGGTGGTCCGCTGTGGGTGCTAACCTTGAGACGCATGTCTCGGGCATGGCGCTCCAGCTCCTTGCGGAAGTCCTCCCGCCCCAGCCTCTCCACGTCCAGCACCGAGTGCTTCCATTCGATCTGTTCCACACTGTGGGGGTCGTGGGACACACACTGGCCCAGCTTTACCTTCTTCAGCACATGCCAGCAGCGGCTGTAGGCCGCCTCATAATCCAGCACGAGCTCACTGAGGGTGCGGAAGGCCGGAGGCTTGTACATCAGGTCCTCCCTCCGGCTCATGCCCAGGGCCCCATAGCGGCCCCCAAAGTTCACCCCCAGCACAATGTGGCGGAAGTAGTTCCCTGAGAAATAGGTCTTGAAGCTGATGGGGAAGCGTTCCAGGGTGGGCATGCTGTTGGTGAGGTAACTGGTGAATCAAGGTGCTAAGGAAAGGGCCAGGTCAGGATGGTATTTGGCTGCCAAAGAGCCCCTAAAAGGCCATCTTCCAAAACCAGACAAACTGGCCACAAATTTCTGTCTCCCTCCCCAGCCCTGACTAGGGTCCTGCAGGAGGGCTGCTTCTCCTGAAGGCTTGTCAGTCTTCCTAGCTGTCCCTCTGCCCTTGCGGGGCTGGCTGAGAAACCCTGTGCATCTTTCTCTGCAGTTCTACTTCCAATACCCCATCTGCCATCTCTATACATCGTCAGCACCACCTGGATGTGCCGACACTGGGGCCTCTCTGCTGCTTCTCCTGCTGCTTAGGAAGGGCACAACAGCTAGGGCACAACACTATACACAGGGTTGGGGTTCTAAGAACAGGGTCACCTTGTCCATGGGACTAAAAACAAGCTGTCCAGTAGGCCTCGGAAGGCAGCAAGAGGAGGCACAGACACAAAGGACTCCCCAGGGGCCTCCCTTTTCAGAGACTCCCTCCCCTGGGGAGACTGCTCCATGCTGGGGGCTAAGAGATGTTAGCACAGAAGTCCTTCAGACCCACCCAGTCCACAGCAGCCAGCCAAGGCTGAGCCAGTCTCTCCCAACCCCAAGGAAGGATACATTCCCAGGATCACAGCTTCCAGGCATTTGATTGGCAGAGCCTCTTTGGTCATTTCCTTGGCTAGGTCCATCAACCTATGAGAAAGGGCGGCAAAGCTGTGTGGGCACCGTCTCCAGCCCTCTCAGGTCCTATTCGGCAATGAGCCAGAAAGACTGGGGCAGAGACTTGCCTCCAAGCTGCCATCCTCCAGGGCCTGGTGTTTCCTTCCCCTTCCCAAGTCTAGAGTCTGAGGGGGTGAGTTCAGGAAGTAGACCTACTCTCCCTGCCCTTCTCTCCCTTCACTTCCTCCTTCCTGGCCTGCTCCCTGCTCAAAGACCCGGGGGAGAGGGGCATGAACAGAGGCAGGTCCTAGGGAGTCCATGCCTTCTCCCATGGCATAGGGCTGGGGGAGGAGAAAGCTTGGGGAGCACAGTGGACAAAGAACTTGCTAACTGATGGAATACACTCTCTGCAGCCTGGATCTCAGACACACAGCTGTACCCTGGCTGGCCAGCCTGCCCCTGAACTTGGAATGTAGGCTATTTTCAAAACAGCCTATCCTCCAGGTAGTCTAGGGGCTCAGCCCGGCCACTGCTTTGTCTGGGCCACTTGCATCCTGGGAGGATGGAATGGGACATCTGCACAGAGCAGCAGGTGAAGGTCAAGAGCAAAGTCTGGGATCAGAGAAGGTGGGCTCCGCTCAAGGGTTTCGAGAGGGAGCAACTCGTTAAATAAGCAACTCAGGATATTTCCCCACAATTAAGTAAATAAGCAACTGAAACTGTCTAAAACAAGAGATTCAGTCTGAGTCTGCATGCTGAGTCATGATGGGCTAGGGAGTGAGCGAAGCAGTTTTCTTTCTTGCAGGTACCAAATAATGCAGACTGCTTGGGAGGCTTCAAGGAAAGAAAAAGGAAGATGTTCTTTCTGAATAGCCCCTACACTCCCACCCCTCCACCCCCTCCCCTCCCCCCAACAGCAGCTGGGATGGGATGGGGGATTACCCTACTAGCTCGGTTGTGCTTCCCTTTCCACAGCCTTGGGTGGCTATCTCATTGGGATTTCCTTCCTCAAGGGCCCAGGGTAGCACCCTTCCCCCATCCCATGGCTGGTTTTCCTTAGGAAAGTCCCTGCTTATCCGTTAAGCTGTCACTAGAAGGCAAACCACAGAGGTCCCAGGGAGATCAAAGCCAGTGGCAATTGCACTTACCCTGTCAGAGGTCTGCTCTTCTTAATTTCAAAGAACTGTGTCCCTGTGTGATTGTACCTGGGGACAGTGGTTAAGGGCTTCCTAGCTTGGTCTGGAAGGCTGTACTGTTCCCTGGGCTACAGAAGGATCCCACAGAGCACCCTACAGGATGTTTGGGCGCTCTCTGGGAAGAGGGGGACAGGGTTCTCCCTCTTTCTTACAGCTCCTCTCCCCGACTCTTTGGCAGCCTGCCTTGTTCTCCCTTGGTCTCCTGTCTCAGGACGGGGCATCGAGTGGGCAGCCAGCGCAGCAGGGCTGTGAAAGCAGTCTCAGCTGGGGACAGCTCCTGCCAGAGCTGGGTTTTCCAAACAGCTAAGAAGGCTGTAGGGGCCACCACTTCCCCCTGTGCCGGCTAGTTTTCTGTCAGCTTTATAAAGGCTAGAGTCATCTGGGAACAGGGAACTTCAACTGAGAAGATGCCCCCACCAGACTGGCCTGTGGTGCAGTTTCTTAATTAGGGAGTGACGTGGGGAGTGGCCCCAGCCCACTGTGTGTGGTACCACCCCTGGGCTGGTGGTCCTGGACGCTCTAAGAAAGCATGGGCCGCAAGGATCACGCAAATAAGGAGCACAGGACGCAGGACACATACACAGCTCTTGGGCAGAAGCTAGAGGGGTTTTGCAGCAGATATATAAGGCAACTGGCCTCCTGCCAGGGAAGAAAAATACCAAGAATTAGGAGAAAATTTCAAGATTTGGATGTTATATCTTGGAGCAAAAGATCCTTTTCCTTCCCTGTCCTCCCAAAGGGAGCATTGCAGTGGCCCCAAAGAGCTTTTTCTGTCCCTTGGCTGGGGCAGACTGGATCTCTCCTTCTCTCTCTCTCTCTCTCTCTCTCTCTCACACACACACCATGGGGAAGCTGGTGCTGGGTCCAGCACTCAGACACAACCTCAGCAGCTCCAGGGAACAGACATGCCAGTGAGTGGCAGCTCTGGTTTGGGAGGGAGCTGGCTCTGCTGATCCCTGTCCAGGTCCCACTTGGTCTTTGGGGCTGTGACTAAATGATGGCCACAGCTCTGGACCCAAAAGGATACTGCAGCTCCCTGATGTAGCGCTGCACGGCTTCCAGGCGCTCAGGGATGGGCGTCGTCGGCTGGAAAGTAGGCACACTTGGTATGGGAATCTAGGGACAGACAGACGGAGAAAAGTCTCTGTCATATGGAGAGGCACGCCCTGGAACTTCCAGCCCCCCAACTCCCAGCAGCAACACCCTGGAGGTGCTCCTACTCAGAGCCGCTTTCCCGGGCAATCCCTCCTTCCCAAGCCTCCTCCCAGGGCCCCAGCTCGGCCATCCTTGACACCTGACTGAACTTCTAATGTGGAGCTTATGCTGACCTTGGACTTTCATGCTGTTAAATAATTTTAGAAAACACAGGAGGATCCACTGACTAAATTTAAAATATGCATTAATTAATGCTTAATGGGAATGCCCACATTGGGGTTAGTTTGTTTGGGATTGGGGTTCACTCTGGTCTATAGCTTGGATGTAGACCCTGTCCTTGGCTTAGAAATGTTGAGGTGGGCTCTAGGCGAAGGAATTAGGGTACTGGAGATGTGCCCTTGGAAAGGAAGAAGGCAGTTTTCAGGGCTCTCATCAAAGAAGCACAACAGGCTCCCCCTTCCTTTGGCTTCTTGCTTCTAGTGTGATGTCTCTCCATGCTCCTGTCATGACGCCATCCATTGCCATTAGACCTTACCCCAGTCTGAACCAACAGGGGACCCTTCAGTCCCCAAGGATGTAAGCTAAATAAACCTCATTTCCTCCTAAGGGTCCCACCTCAGGTATTTCATTATAGCAGTGAAAAACAGGCTAGTACACTCTGGCTCAAGTACTAGGTTAAACCTGGTTTTCTTAGTGTCCCATTCCACCAGGTCGTAACCTAAGCTAGGGGTGTGTGTCATAGACAGGTGGATAGAACCTCAGCAAGGGATGTCACCTCCCTCACTGGCATGACAAGTGTGCCAGGGCTTCCAAAAGCACCAACCTGAACTGTCAAGGAGTGTGACAGTGGCGGTGGAATAAAGGAACAGACCACGGGGCAGGTCTTGCTTCAAAACACTCTTCCCACCCACTCCATACCTAAGCAGTATGTTCCTACCCTTTCCCAGTAGGTTGCCACTGGACCCTCCAAGGCCACCCAGAGGTTGCCCATGCATATCAAGCTGCCAAGGTACCGGTGAGAGTAAAGAGAAGGGGTATTAGGAGTCCCAGGTACTCAGGGTGGGGCTGTTACGGAGAAGGAAGGATTCATCCTTGGTAGACCGGGCCCGCAGAGGATTTTTTAAGCATGGTAGTTGCTGTGGCTGGGCTCTGTCAGGAAGAGAAGTGACGTACAATTCTCACCACACACTTGTCTCTGGGGTGCTTCTGCTAGCGGGAGACCAGTAGATGCTGCCTCGCTCCTTAGGGGCCCGGAGATGGAGGAAAGAAGGGCCCTGCTCAGAGAGACAGTCCAGCACATCTTTCTTCCCTCTTCTCTCCCCAGGGTCCTTTGTTTCCTGTCCAGGCAGTCTCTAGCAGCAGACAGCACAGCCTGGAGAACTTATTTCCTCTTTTCCATCACTTCCGTCTTCTCACTGGCACCATCACTTAACAGCCACCAGCAGGGGGAAAGCTCAGGATGGGGCTTCACTCTGGGCCAGATGCACACTAGAACTGTCCAAGGGGGCTGGCCGGCCATCCTGGTCAAGGGTATGGGGGTGGAGAGGCAGGACATACTCCCCTATAAGCAACGCTGAACATCCTCCCAAGTCACCGGACCCCAGGTGGTACTCTCAGTGTAGCAAGAATCACCCCCACCTGGTAGGGCCCAGAAACTAGAGCTGTGTAACTGAACCCCCTGCTCATGAGCCACTTTGGACAGGGAGGAAGCCATTGTAGAACCACTTGCCAAAGCTCAGGCAAGAGAGATTTGGGAACGGGCTTAGGCCAGGAACAGGAGTACCCACAAAACCATCATGCCATACAAAGGGCCTGGTAAGAAGGCTACTGCGGAAGAAGAGTGAAAAATGACCCAGGATCCTATGCGTGGCCTTAGATACCACCTAAGCAAGGACAAAGCTTGGCCCAAGAACCAGACAGTCCAGGGTGCTAGGACAATCTTATTAGAAGAGTCCCTCAGCCCCGCACACTGAGGAGGCTTAGAAAAGGTAAGTCAGGAAGACTTAGCGATGAACAGAGCAGAACTGGCCGTGCTGTGGAATCCAGCTCTGTGATTTCAAGAGAAGCTCCTGCCCAGCAGTGCCTCAGATATCTCATGCTGAATATACCTCATTCCTGAAAGGGCAGTAACAGAACCCACCTGGCGGGGCACCACTGAGCTTGTCACAAGCAGACCCCAGCAGACCCCTCAGAACACTGTCCAACACCTGGCTACAAGTACGTGCCAAAGACTGTTCCGCACACACTGCCCTGGGCTGTCTGGCTCTCTAGAGAGGCCTGGATTCCCATCTGCAGGTGCTCTGTGGTCAAAGCCACAGCTGGGCCTTCAGCAGCTGGGTTTAGGTGAATGGTTGCTGGGCTTCGAAAGGAGAGCAGCTGGAAAGAGCAAGGAGAGAGTCTCAGGAAGGAGCATAGCCTGCTGCAGGCTTCTAGACCCTTTTAGAAGCTGTTACGTTCGGCATCGCTCTTGCAGAGGCTGTGAGAGCTTGTGGCTTGCCGCGTGCCCACTCTGCACCACTGGGGACCTATTCGGTGCTGACCTAATGAGGCGTGAACATGCTTTCCCTCATCAGTTCATCTCAACATCCCCATGAAATGGGCCTTGTCGCTGACCCACCGACACCTGGAGATCCTGAGGGCAAGGACACTGCATGCCTTCCTCTTCTAGTTAGGGGATAGCAAGGATGAGAAGACACAGGGCACGCCCTCCACACTGCTCTGCCCTGCTGCTGTGGATACGGCAGACCTAGCCTGTAAAACTCAGGGAAGGCGGGTGGGGCATGGGAAACGGTAGCAAAATGGGGGAGGGGAAACCATCCCAGCCGCCACTCCACTGCCCCACAGACATGCCGTTTCCGCATCTCTCCTTTTCCTGTAAAGATGCCAAAAATTATGGATCACTATGTGAGAAACCTCCCAGTGTCAACGTTTGGTTCAGGCAGTCTGTGTATCCTAAAAAACACTTCCGGGGCCCATCACGGGACAGTACGACCTCTGCAGCAGGCCACTAGGGAGGGGACAGGTCAGGGTCAGGCCTTTCTGCAGTTCACACTATGACTCCCAATACTGCTTCTCTTCTCCATGGCTTCATCACGTCTCCTGCACCCTGAGTCAAAGTAACAGCTCAGCCTCACACCTCCTCACTCACTGACCTGAGATGCTTTCCCAAAGGAGGTTTCAAAACTTCCCAAGCCTCTCCTAAAATCCCTTCCATCTTCCTATATATACTCCCGTCTCCATACTTCCCTCCCTCACAAACAGCTTCATTCATTCAAACTCGTCCTTCCTGAACACGAGGCCTGATTATGACATTACCGACCAGTCACTCTCAAAGACACTGAGGGTTTGAGTCCTCTAAAGCAGCGACCCACTCTGCCACTCACGTTCCAATTCAGACAGAACCAACAGGGCCAGACACTCTGAGGGGCATCTAATCTCTTTCCTCACCATAGTCCTTGTTTGCAGTTTGATGATTAACACATAGTTTCTCATTTTTCCCTCCCCACCACCAATCCCATTTTACAGATAAGACAGCTGTGACTCAAGCAGGCTAGAGGAGATTGCCTGGAGATCGCACTAACTGGGCAGGCAGGTTATCCAAAACAACACCCCAATCCCACGATGTCATACTTTCTTGTTCAGATTTTTGATCCCCAAATTTGTGTTTTAGAATGTTCTGCACAGTGTTCATTTTAAGGATAAGATAGTGGAAACAATGTCCAGTTTCAGATTAGCTAAGTAAATGAGAGGAGGATGTAGCTATTTGAAATCAATTTAGCTCATTCCGCTGGGAAACATTAGGCAGTGCCTCAACCTTCAACCTCAGATTATCTTTTCCCAAAAACTTTTTTTTTTTTTTCAGATGGTTCTGCCAACAGCCCAGCAAAAGCAAACCAGGCCTGATTTCCATGTATAAGTAACTGTTCTCTCCTCTCCTCCTTCAGGACGGAGCCTTAGCTTCTGACTTCCTTGGACTGAAACACAAACATTAATAAACACATGTATGCATGTACGCACACACAATTTCCAGAAGAACACTGAACAGAACAGCACATCGCAAATGTCTTTTCATTTAGTAAACACGCATAAGTGTCCGTCCTGCGCCAGGCACACAGGAGACCCCAAGAAGACAAAGATGAATGAGACAGAGCCTCTCTTTCCTCAGCGGTACCAGGGAGGCACTGTTGTAGCAGAAAATGTCAGTTAACGCAGGACAACATTCCCCACAGGGTCATTGCTAATGCCACTGAAATCTGGTTCCCAACAGAGCTGAGCATATGGAACCCCAAGACCTTGTGGGGAATCCCAGCTCTCCTTTGGAATGTTGCTGGCCAAACTCAGTGGATAACATAGGAGAGATTTTCTTACCATACCAAGCCCTGCGCGTCCCCAGTCAGTCACCATCAATACCAATCTCGTAGTTTTCTGGCTCCTCAAGTGTCCTGAGCCAAAGAGATGCCTAGCCACACCACCAGTTCCCTAGTTCATATGTGGTTCTGCTCCGAAAGCCATGGGGGAGGAGAGAGGGGATTGTGCCTCCCTCATCAAATGACTCCAGAAGCACTGGAAAGAAAGTTCTGGACAGGTGCCACCTACCTAAATTTAAAAAATCTTTCCGTAACAACGGTCCCCTGCTGCATCCATCAGGTGCAAGATGTCCTTCGCTCCGAGGTCAACAAAACCCATCTTCATTGTGCCTGCCCCCTTCACATCTTACCTTGGGCAGGTCTGTGGCCCCACGGATCCGCAGGGCCACCTTCTCTCCGTCCGGGTGGATCTTGGCCACGTGCTTCCACATCCTTTCCCAGGTAGCCTCGTCCACGGGCAGTCCACCTCGGTTGATGAAGAAGGGGACGCCTCCATCTCGTAGGTCCTCTTCCCCTTCCTCCTCCGGTTCCTCGTCTCTCTGTGCTGAGGCCCCTTCGCTGGTCTCCAAACGTTTAATGCCAGGGTGGGCGGCGGCGGCAGCAGCGGTGGCGGCGGCTGCGTTCGGGGAGGCACCGCTGCTGCCACTGGGGACCACCTTCTTTCCCCCTGGCATCCCTAAATCCTCGACGGGGGTGGGAGGGTGTATCAGGAGGCGGGAAAAATAAGTGCCTCACATGAGGCCTCCCCCACACCCGCTACAGAGATAACACATGGTCAAACAGTGCCTGGCGCCTTTAAGAAACCAGGGCGTGGCTCCAGTACAATAAAATACTATTTGGTTAAAAAAAAAAAAAGATTCAGCGCATCAACCTGGAGTGATGGCCAGGTTGGGTTGCCCAGGGTCGGCCTTATCGGGCTTGTTTTGTCTGGGAAACGGGATGAAGAGAACACACCCCAACTTGCCAGCCTGTACAAAGCACCCCCATTTGGCAGCGAGAACAATGACCGACAGGGATCTAGGGTGGCCGAGAGGGGAAAAGTGGGGTTCGGGGTGAGGAGACTGAGGCCAGACAAGCTCGGACCTGCAGCCACGCTGAAAAGGAGGGCCAAGGCACCGGTGCCCACTCCAAGTTTTGGAGAGAACAAATTCCTCTACGAAATCCTTGCACACTCACACTGGTGCGACCGGAGGGAGCCCGCGTGAGCTCTGGATCCCGGGGGGCGACTTCTCGGTCGAGACCCTTCCCGGAGCCAAGTCTCACAGCGGGCGGGGCGGGGAGGGGGCGCGCGTCACCACGCACATTCTACGCCCGCCTCCCGCACAAAGTGGGGCTTTGTCTGGTTTCCTAGCCCCTCGGCCCCGGGGGGCAGCAGCGGAGCAGGCGGGGGGGGGGGGGGGGGGGGGCCGGGCGGGGGGGCGCCGGGGCCTTGCGATTCCCCACCTGGTACGGCTCAGCGGGGGCACAGGGGGCATCTGGCAGGGAGCGGTCCCCGCCGAGGCAAAGCGGGACGCGGGGCCCCAAGCTCAGCCATCGTTGGGGGGGGGGGGGGCAGCTCGGGCGACGTTCGGAACCAGGCTGAGGTCACTGGGCGCCAGGCCACGGCCGGAGGCTCATCGCTCGCCACCCAGCTGCAGCCAGAGCCGGAGAAGGATGCTGCGCTGGGGCTCCCGCGGCCAGGCGGAGCGGAGCCGGGCGCGCGGGGCGCGAGGGCAGGTCCGCAGGCTCCACCCGCGGGGACGCGTGTAAGCGAATGACAAAGCCCGGGCGGGAGGCGGTGCGCGGATTCTCCGGGAGCAGCAGCCTGCGATGGTGCAGCCCACCGGCCGATCGCCGCGTCCCGGCTCCGCGAAGCAGGAGCCACCTCTGCCGCCGGCTGGGTCCGAAGCCCTCCCGCCGCCCACCCGGCTCGACTCCGGCCCGCGCCGCGCATGCGCTCCGTCCCCCCCTTAAAGGGCCAGCGCGTTCCCACCGGGTCCTCCTTCCGCTGCCGCCACCCCGGTCCTCCCTCCACCACTCCCTCCCCCCCAACTACAAGTTCTTGCAGGGATGCCCTGAACGTTCTCTTCCTGCTCACCCTCTCTCCTAGGGCGCTGAGAAGTTGGTTCTGAGCGGAGGAAGTTTACAAATCGCGACACAGAGCGCAAACTCCTGGGGGATTCCTAGCGTGGAAGGAACTGGGAATTTCCTGAAGGACACTTCGTGGAGGGGCGGCCCTCAGCTATAGAAGGAAGAATGCTGATCTGGAAGACCCGGGTTCTAGATGGTGTTCATGCCTGTCTTCCTCTGGGACATACAGTAAATCCCTCCCCTTGGCAGGCCTCAGTTTCCCTATCTGTCATCCAGTGTGAACTGGATGAACTCAGCCCTTCTGGCAGTGTTCCTTAAGGGAGGATTTGTAGGGGTTCATTCTGTTTCACTCGGTTACTTGCATGGGATCTTGGGAGTTTGTCCCTAGTTCTGGCATTGGCTGCCCCAATCCTTTGGACACCTGGCTGGAGACATGAGCTTTCCCAATCCCGGGGCCAATGTAAGAATGGGAGGCAGTGTTTGGGGAGTGTTGACCTTCCCAGATTTAGTACAGTTGATTTTTGTGTGTGGCCTGTGGACTCTGGAGACCCAACATGCCCTCTCCTTTCCCTGTATGTAACTCCCAAATAAAGAACTTCACCAAGTGTCTACAGCTCAGTTTGAGGTTTAAGACTTTCTTCCCCCTGCCGGTAGTTGGTATGAATATCAGTCATCTGGGAGAAATGTTCCTGACAGATAGAGTTTGGATACTGAAGGTCACCCAAAGACCTATGTGTCCCAAGATGGTGCTATTAGGCAGAGGCACAACCTTTGGGAGGTGGGGCTGTTTGTATGCGTATGTGCGTGCGTGCGTGCGTGCGTGTCTTTGGGTTGCTGTAAATAGCCCCTTTATCCTATTTTCACCTTTTATCGAGATAAAACGCTGACCAAACGCAACTCGGGTAGAAAGGATTTATTTTGGTCCATACTTCCAGTCACAGAAAAGTCAGGGCAGGAACTCAGGGTAGATCATGGAGGAGTGCTGCTTACTGGCTTACTCGTTCATGCTATTTATTTTAGATAAGATCACTCTGTGGCTCGGGCTGGTCTGGAACTTGATATGTAGACCAGGTTTGCCCCAAACTCAGAGATTTGCTTGCCTCTGCCTCCAGAGGGCGTGCACCCACAGCAAGAGTAGAAAAGACCCCAGGGAATCCCCAGGCTCTCAGGGCTTCCCCACTGGTTCCTTAAAGTGCCTCTGGGTATCGGATCTTTCTGAGCGTCAGTCAAAACTTTTTGTCACCTGCATTCTCAGGAAGCAGGCATGGTCAATGCTAGAGATGTTTTCAAGAAGGCCAGGTTCTAGGGCTCTAAGAAAGTCAGCCTGGCTTACCCTAAACTCACTGAGGGAAGATGATTTTGGCCATGCAAATGCCATCAGAGATCAACAGCTGCCACCTCCTCATTGTGTAAATGAGGAAGCCTGAATCTCAGGGTGTAAATTCCTCAGGCTCGCACGAAGACAAGCAGCAGAACCAGAGTATCAGTAGAACGCCTCCTTACAACGTTTTCTTTTCACCCCCATAATGTCCATCTCTCGTGTCTACCCAGTGCTCTTGGTGAATCTGAGGTAAGTCTGCAAGTTCTCTGCCATCTTTTTGTGAATATTTGCATCTTATTCTTCTTCCACTGAGCATGTGCTGAGCTCAAGGGCGTGTCACCAATGAACAGAACGCAGAGGAGGTGATTCTCTGAGACCCTTGAAGGCCGGGTCATAAAAATGACATGCTGCCTTCACTCAGAAGACACCAGCCACCGTGCTGTGAGGAAGCATGAGTGTCACAGATGCCACACGAGGGCGTTCTGGCTGGTATCTCCCAGTAGACCCTCAGCCAGCCAAGGTAATCACATACTTTGGACTATTCTCAAACTCAGTTTGTAGCCGTGGCTGATCTTGAACTCCTGATCTTCCCGCCTCCACCTGCTGAGTGCTGGGGTCACAGGCATGTGCCACAGCACCCAGTAACTTTTTCTTTTTTCTTTCATGCCATTAATTATGAATAGGGAGAAAACAAATGAAGTTGAGTCATGATCTCTACTCACGTATGCACCAAGTCCACGCTGCATGTCTAATTCTAGACTCAAGTGTGACTGCAGGCTCCAGGGACACCTGGGAAGAAACTTAGAGCTCTTTTGGCAAAGTGGAGCTCAGGTTAGAGTCACCCAAGGAACTCTCAAAATTACTGATACCTCGGCTCGAGCCATTAGAGTGCTGAGAAATTGGTTGGGACTGGGTTGGTACCCAGAATCTAGGAACATGTGAGAATGATGCTACTGTGAGGATGAAATTTGGCCTGACCAGTGACATGCTATGCTCCTGTATCCCTCCTGAGTACTTTAATATTTTTTATTATTATTACTGAATGTATGCATGTATGTGCACCAAATGGGTGTATCTGCTGCCTTCAGAGGCCAGAAGAAAGCATCAGATCCCCTGACACTGCAATTACAGATAATTGAGTTGTGAGCTGCCGTGTGGGTGCTGGGAATCGAACCTGGGTCTCCTGAAACAGAAGCCGGTGCTCTTGACCACTGAGCCAACTCTCCAGCCCCTTTTGGGGTTCTTCAGAAGAACTTGAGAGAATCCTCTGTGGATCTGGTGTCTGTCTGAATTGAGTTCAGGATGCTCAGAGAACAAAGGCACCATTCCTCCATCCAAACAGAATCTAATCCATTTATAGTAAGGTGCTGAGGCAGCTTCTGGTCCAGGTTCTTGTGTTCAATTACCTTTCTGCAAAGTATCCCTGTAGTTTGTTCATTATTGAGCTAAGTGGGAAATATCTCAATAAAAAATAACTACCCTTTACCAGACACATGGTACAGGGTAGTTGCTTTATGCCTCCCATGAGCCACAGGGCAGCCTTGCAAGGCAAGTACAGCTGACACCAGCTTCCAGACAAGCCACCTAAGTAAGAGTCACCGGTGCTGTGGGTACCAGCTTGTCTGAGTTGCACAGATGGGATTGAGCTCCAGAGTTTCCCTTTTCTCCCTCACTGTCCTATAGCTGAGGGTGTGCAGCCAGGAGCTAGGTTCGCAGCTTCAGTCTGCCTGGGGTCTTCCTAAGGAAGAAGCCTCTCTGAAGGTGAGGTGCAGCGCCCCCCCCCCCAATGCCCGCTGTGTGTGTCAGTGGAAGCCCCAACGCTGAGGCAGTCTGGAGAGTTGTCAGCTGTTCTTAACAGGAGTCCTAGGATCCCGAAAGAACAGGGTACTTGGGAATATGTGGAGTGAGAGGTTAGGAGTGGAGTTACTTTAGGTGATGGACTCTTTCTTCTTAGGGATTTGGGAAAGGCAGCTGAGAATACTGCTGTACCTGGAGCAGCTTGGCTGTAGGCGCCCAGGACTCACGGTGAAAGCGTTACCTCTTCTTGGCTTGGATTTCTGTGAAATGGTAGATAGTCTGCATCTTCATGTATCTTTGCAATTGGAGTTCTTTCCCAGGTACTTACTTCCTGGGCAGCCTGGCCTGGCCTCCAGGGATCCAGAAGGGGCAGGACACATTGTGTTTGACTCCAAAGGACACTACCGGCTACTGTCCCCTGAGGAGGACCACCTCATACAGTAATAGATGCCAGCAGGGGTCAGACTTAGAATGGACCAGGTCTTGTCTGCTTGTCATTTAACAGGTCTACGTTAGGAGCAAAGCGATGACCAGCGATAGAAGGAGCGATGTCACTGCTGGAGGTGCCTTTACAAAGCTCCCCTAGCTCTCACTTCATAGATGGGAGTTGAAGCTCAGCAAAGTAGGGTAGGTAGGGAGCCAGCCATTGAGGGGCACACCTGTTTCAGCACTTGGAGGCAGGTTGAAGTTCAAGGACATTCTCAGCTGCCTTGCAAGTTCAGAGCATGGCGTGAGACCAAGTCTCAAGAAGCAAACAAAGGCCAGCGAGATAGCTAGCCTGACTCCTTACGTTCAGTCCCTGGGATTCACGTGGCAGAGGGTGAGAATCAACTTCACAGGTTGTTCTCTGACTTCTTCATGCCCACCTGCCCACCACGAGTAAATAAAATCTAATAAAAACCAACAAAAACAAAAACAAACAAAAACAAGCCTAGAGATGTTAGTGGTGGGACTCAGACTGGGACTCTGGCTCAGTCTACCTCCCCTAAGGTGTTCATTAGCATCAGAGAGGTTGGCTCTAGGGAAACCCTTGAGGGCTCAGCAGGAGCAATGGACAAAGAGGGTTTGTTTTAGGTGTGGCTGAGCTGGGTGACGGGAGAGGACGGGGTGTCAGATCCCCTGGAGCTAGAGCTACAAATAGTTGTGAACTCTCTGGTTGTTGCTGGAAACTAAACCCAGGTCCTCTGCGAAAGCAGCAAGTGCTCTTAGCTGCTGAGCCACCTCTCCAGCTCCAGAAGTGTGTGTTTTAGCCACAGTTCCAGGCTTTAGTCCATCACTGTGGGGAAGTCACCCTGGAAGGAGGTTGAGGGAATTGGTCGTGTCACACCTATCATCGAGAACAGAGAGCTATGAGTGCGTGCACGCATGTTTGTGCTCTGTTCAGTTTCTCCACTTACATAGTTCAGCATCCCCTGCCTAGGGAAAGGTGCTGCTCACAGTGGGTGGGTCTTTCCACTTTAATTAAGGTAATTAAGACAACCCACCACAGACATGCCCATAGGCCAACTTGATCTAAACAATTGACACTTCCTTCCCAGATGATTCTATACCGTGTCAAGCCGACAATCAGAACTAACAATCACAGCCCCACCCCTTGTCAAGTTGACACCCAGACACATCACTCTGAAGTCACAACTTTTCATCCTTTGTCTCCAAAGTTTTATGTTTGTCTCATAGTGCAAAATACAGTCCAACTTTAAAAGTCCATAGTCTTTAAATTTCCAGTACATTACAAATCCAAATTCTTTTAACTGTGAGATCCTATAAATAATAATAATAAAAAAAAATACACATTTTCAATACACAGTAACACATTCTTATTTCCAGGGCACAGCAAGGAATAATCACACCAACGAGAAATGAAAAGGGAAAACACCAAATTCAGCAACTCTGTGTTTATCATCTGAGGCTTGTCATGTCACTGGCTGGGCTCCAAAGGCTTGGGCAACCCTAGCCCTCTAGCCCT